TTAATTTAATCTAGCTTTGTTTAGAGGAAAATCCATAGCTTTAAATACTTATGCTACTACTGATAGAAAATACATTAAATGCACAATTCAATATGTTAGTAAAGGAATAAAGCAAAACTAATGATACAAGAATAATAAATATGACAAAAGGATAGTATAAGTAATAAGAAGTTAATTCTTTGAAAAAAACGAATCTTTATATAACAAAATCTTTGTAAGTTAGGACAATTTTGGGCACACAAAAAAACAGGATTCTAAATGCAAAATGCTCATAGAAACAAAGGGAATTAAAAGATCATATGAGAGGCTGAAAAGTGACTATGAAAATACATTTATTGGTAATTTGAGATAATCTATATAAGTCAATACAAATATCAGGACAAAATGATCACTTTCAGGAAGCAAAATTTTCCAGTAGAAACAGAAAAGCTAAATAAAACACATTTACATTGTAATCAAGTGTCTGATTGCTTTTTTTTTTTTTAATATTTGACTGCTGACAGCTTTTGATTTTCACAGGTCTTCCTACCCCCTCTACCCCCATTTGCAGCACATCTGGATATGCTGATAAGAAAGCTCGGGTGCTCCCTCTGGCGTGGTGAGTGCTTCAAAGCACACAAGCCCTTGTCTGTATTCAAGGGAAAACTCAACTTTCCATCCTCTAATCACTACTAAAAACTCAAGCCAGTCTCCTTTTTCTGCTCTCAATTTATTTTCATACCTGCTTACAAGTTATCCTGCTCTCTCCAGAAAGCCTCATTGCACTAGTAATAAACCATTAATAAAACTTTTATACCACCTTGGTCCATCTATGGTGTCATAAGTCTGGACATCAGAACCACATTTTGGATAGAGGTTCATTTCTATACACACACACACACACACCACACACTGCATGCATGCATTTGAAAATGTGTGTGTGTATACAACTCCCAAACTAGAACCTTTTTTAACAGGGAGACATCAAGGAATTCCTAATGTCAGTAACAAAACATATGCCTAGTATTGCCACTATTTTTAATCAATGGCTACAGGTGTTTACTAGCTTATTTAGTAAGGAAAATGTTTTAAACACTAGACTTATTTATAATCTGGGAGTGGGGAAAATATTCACTATGACTTCAATATAAGAGCAATTAAACTACAGATATTATAAATAAAAATCCATATAAAATATTATGCATACCACATACTAATTATGCAAATGAGTAAGGTTGTACTCATGCCACAAAAGTACATACACAATCCACAAAAGCAGTAATTAACAAGTGGAACTACATGAAACTAAAAATGTTCGGCAAAGCAAAGAAAAACTGTCAACAAAATGAATAGGCAACCTCCTTAATGGGAAGAAATATCTGCAAATCATATATCTGATGGGGGTTAGTATCCAACGTATATAAAATACACATAAATCACAGTAGGAAAAAAGCCCAAACCATCCAATTTAAAAAGGGCAGTGGATCTGAATAGAACTTTCTCCAAAGAAGACATGCAGATGGACAATGAAAAGGTGCTCAAAATCACTAATCATCAGGGAAACGCAAATCAAAACCACAATGAGATATCACCTCGTACCTGTTAGAATGGCTTTCAACTAAAAAAAATCAGAAGTCAGCAAGTAATGGAGAAGGTGAGGAGAAAAAACGAACATTAATTGGTGGGAATGTAAATTGGTACACCCACTGTGAAAAATAGTATGAAGGTTTCTCAAAAACATTAAAAATACAACTACCATGTATATCCAGTAATCTTGGTTTATATATAAAGGAAATTGAAAACTATCTTGAGGAGGTATCTACATTCCCATGTTCACTGCTGCATTATTCTCAGTAGCTAAAGAAACAATCCAATTGTTCATCAACAAATGAATGGATAAAGATGATATAGTAAGTATATGTGTGTATATTACATATAAAATGTATACAAACACAATGCAATATTATTCAGCCATGAGATGGAAGAATATCCTTCCATTTGAAGAACATGGACGGACTTTGAAGGTTTTATGCTAAGATAAGTCAAACAGAGAAATACAAATATTATATAATATCACTTATGTGTAGGTTCTAAAAAAGGCCGAACTTATAGATATGGAGTGTAGAATGGTATGAGAACTGGGGAGATGTCGTTCAAAGGGTACAAACTTGCAACTAGAAGATGAATAAGTTCTGGAGATGTAATGCATAGCATAGTGATTATAGTCAATGATACGGCCTTATATATGTGAAAGTTGTTAAGGAAGTAGGTCTTAAGTGTTCTCATCACAAAAAAAGAAATTGATACAGGTAGCAAAGATGGATCAGGAATACCTATAGATATATGGCAAAAAAAAGACATCTGTCTTGGATGAGGATTCATTAGCTTATTTGCCAATCCAGCCTTATGCTAGTAACTTCTCACATCACACTGTTTCCAATCAAAGGACAAAAAATGCTAAGTCACCCCAAGGGGAGGCATTAGAGAGAAAACCCATCTCAAAATTTTAGGAGAAACTCTCTTACATTTTTATTCATTTGTTAAGCAAGATCATGAATGCTTTTAGACTAACCATGTCTTCTGTGCTGGTTTCCTTATTTTGAAACTTGATTCATAATCTGCATAAATGGTTATATCCCTTTTCTAGTACAGGCCTTTATAATTTTTCTGTGAGGAAATGTTGGCAAATAACACTTTAATGAATCCACAGATCCCTGCCATTTTTTTTTCTTACTTGGCCTTAACTACACTTTGAACAGAATTGCCTTTGAAAAAGAAGTTATTGGGTAATTAACCTATTTTTTTTAATATTCTCATTAAAACACTTTCCCCAGCTTAATTACTTTCACATATTCTCCATGGCTTACAGAAGATAACTCACACCACTTAAAATTATTTAATATTATTTTTCAAAAGATGGCTGAAACTACTTTTATAGTTGTATAATTGCCTCTGTTTTCAGCACAACCATTGTACAGCACACAGTTTCCTAAACATACCTTAGTTGTTGTACTCATATGACAAGGCTCAAGCGATTATTATTTTCTGAAATGGACTTAGCCTTTTCTCCATCTGAAAGACATGACTAATCCTGAAAAGACATTTTCAAATCTAACCTCTTCATTGAAGCCTTCCCTCAACCATTATTTCTTGCTTTTCCCATATACTATTATAAAAAGTATTTCTTTATACTTTGATGCAATTTTTCTAGGCTGCATCTCAAAATGCTTGAGCAAGTTGGCAGGCTACTGTGGTTACAGAGAGGAGTAAAAAGGAAAAGACATTTTAATTTTAATGGCAAAAGAATTACAATAAAGAAAATAAAACATATCAATATTATCAAGATTCAACTGCTCTTATATCAGATTTTGAAATTCATAAAATCCTGTGGGCTATGGATAGTTTTGATCATGTAATTTCATTAAGTGTGTTCTTCAAAAGCATAATCACATTTTAATCCAAAACATTTAGTTTTTGAATAGTCTAACAACTAGTATGCAAGATAAATTTTAAGGTTTTTATGGACATAAAGATACCTTTGAGTGCATATTTTAACAAAGTTAATGTCATGTCATAAAACGTAATTATGAACTTCAGCCAGTTATTCATGAAACCAACTTTTACTCAATGAAATGAAGAAATATCTGGCTTTTCAAAAAAATTTCAGACATGCCTTAAAATATAGCATGTGGAAAATACATGGTTCAATTCACTGACTATAGTTTACAGACTTTACAGTTATCCATTACTTCTTATTCAATTCAATGTAACTGAATACATGAAATTTATTGGATCAACTTTTGTCTAAAAATGTTCCCCAATGATCACTGAATATTTTTCTCATAATAAAAATTATGCTAAACTGATTCATTCATAAGTAATAAGTGTATACTTCAAATTCAATTTATTTAGTTGGGTGACTTTCTACTCATTTCATCTAAAAATTTTATGACCAAAGCTACGTGTTAATTGTCTGGGCATGATTATGTTGCTGTTGATATCAAAATCTAATGGTTTTCTTTTCAAAGCAAATATATAACAGTCCTTTAGTATAAAGTGATGGTATCACAGAGGAACAAACAGAGGGACAGACATGCGCAAACATTTCAAATATAATGAAGAAAATAGTATCATTGAGTAAATAAAAAAATAGAGAAAGAGGATACTTATTTTTCAAGGAAGAATCTAGAAAATATTTATGGAGATAATGGAATTAAGCTTGGTCCTTGAAGTTTGGTTAATATTTCAATAGGTAGAAAAAGTATCGATCAAGGAATTCTTGGCAGAGGAAACAGAAAAAGCTACAGAGGAGAGGGAGAGAGTCCAAAACAATATCACTGTTACCTTTGCACACAATGAGCAGCCTTGTATATAAATGCAAACAAACAGGTGTTCTTAAAGCAACATTTTTGTATAATATAAATTATTCAGATATTTCTTTGAAAATATTGAAGGTTGATTTTTTTAAATTACAAATTAAGAAAGTAATTCTCTTAAAAGTTCCCTTGGCTTTAGTGTGAACTTAAAAATTGTATTCATTTATTATTTTAGTAAATTTTATCTAAGACTCTTAAAGAAATCTTACAACCTAAGTAATTAATTATCATTTTTCAATTTAACTTGAATTTATACATATATTTTTATTTTTATATCCCTTCATTGTCTGACTACCAAAATCTTCCCAAGTACTTGACTGTCAGATTTATAAATACAAAGGTTTTTGATAGTCCTAAGTAATGCAATCGTATCTGTAAATCTAAATATTATGGACAATTTCTTATTATTTTGCTTTGAAATACTTCACCACCAATTTTTATTGTAAATATTATTAGAGTTAGTAAGAACTTGCCCATATTGAAGTTGCTTTCCCAAACAATTATTTAATCAATAATTTCACGGCTAGATGAATTTTCATAGTAGGTAGGGAGAGCCACCACCTCCCTACAGCACTCACATGCCCACGCAGGACACACATAGATTTTTGGCCATTACTGGTAATAACATTTTTTTTTTTTTTTTGACAGAGGAAAGCACGAACGCAGTCCCCCACTACCAGAAATGATGCAGCCTAGTTTCCCACATTTGGGAAAATCGCAGGGGTCAGCACATCTGGAGTGCAATGGATAAGCCTCACCCTGGGAAAACCACCTCCATGATCATGGTATTTCCCCTGCCAGGTAAGTATGGTGGTGATAACATTTGATCCCTATTTATGTTCACTGTAATATGAATGTTGTAGCTTACAGAGTTCCTCGTAAGACTCGTATTCTTAAGATGTACATGATAATTTAAGTCTTCTCTAATAAGGGAATCTGAAAACCCTCTTTAGATATTTGAATTACTTGATATCTAGAATTTTAAAAATCCTTTGATTTTTCTATATCTATCTGATTGTGTATAGCTCATAATTTCTAACTTCACAATCTTTAATAACTGCAGTGTGTCTGATATATTGTGATGAATCTTGAGGAAAGACTGCAATCATATAGTAAGCCTTTACTGAACTGGTAGAAACAACACTAGTAGAGCAGAGATGTTTTTCTAGGAACTTTGACAATCAATAGGAAGGGGATAAGAGTATAGTAATTATACCATAAGGATAGTAGATTAAATAAAAATATGCATACTTAGTTTTTAAGATATTCATGAATGCATATTAGTAATAGTGGCTCAATATTAAAAAAGAGGAAAATGAAAATGAAGTAAATTGTGACAATTACAAATTGTGAAAAAAATAAAGGAATAAGGAATGACAACTGGTTATTAATGGAGTGGGGTTTGGACAAGAAGGTAGTCATGACAGAGCAGGTGATACCAGGGATAAAGCCTAAGCAGGGACAACTTGTTTGCAGGGTAAAAAGGAACACTTAGTAATATATATACAGTAAACAATAGGAGATAATGGTGGGCAAATACTACAAAGCAAAAATCTAGACATTTTTCTAGGTTTCCATATCAACACTTATGTTAATCATTTCTTTCCTTTCCCTCTTTGTGCTAATAAAAGTCTGTATTTTATTTAATTCACAAATGTTTTACCTTGTTTTCTCATTTATTCATAAAGTTGAATTATCTCAACATCATTATAGGTATTTTTTTTTCTTTCTAGTGTTTTTTAATTTTACCAAAGTACTGTGCATAAGATTGCTGCTTAATATAACCTTTGTTATATTGTTCAATATCCAACAGTAGTAACGAATTTTCTATTGTTCTCAAATTTCCTTACATAATAACATATTTTCTCCATTAGAGTATTATTTAAGATTAATTCATAGCTGAAACATCAAATTCAGTCTTAAAGGATTATAAGATTTTCCCAAATTTCATGAGACTTGAACACATCAGAGGGATTTGATATTCTTTACCAATTTAATTATTGTAATATTTATGAGTTATGCATGAAGAATTACAATGAGTACCATTAGAGGAGATGCTCTTAGAATTTAATACAATTTATTTCAGTGATTTATGTCTACTATTATTTCATGCTGTTGAACAGATATTTCCTTGATTGAGCTGCATATCCTCAGAAAAAATTGATCCTTTAGTCCTTTTCTACATTAGCAGATGACAATTAGTGAGGCTGGTTAAAGTTTCAAAAAACAGAAAATAATGTTAAGTTTTTAAGGAGAATTTTGTCTATTCTATAAAATTTTGTTAAATTTTGGATTCAACCATAAGGCCTAAGTTAATTTCATCTGAGGATTTAGCTATGCCAAATAGATTCTCTGTATTCCAGGGATATCATGGTTGAAAGTTACTTCAAACTTTGATAAATAAGAAAGCAATATAATAGAGGGTGAATTACATTTAAAGATAAAAATCCAATTTATCATATGTAAATGTACCATATAAATTAAATTGAACTCTAAGAAATTCAATGTGACAAAAAAAACATAAGATATCCATAAAATTCATATTAGGTTATTGTAAAGAAATGTATGTATTAACAATGCACTATTACTAAACTACATGGCTTAAATGAAGGAAATGAAATATAAAAACTGTTACAAAAATCTTTCAAATCTCTATGGAGAGTGTGAAAGTTACCTGCATGTGTCTGTGCCTCTCTCTTTTCTCTCTCTGAAATGTGTCCTGAAATTTTTCATTGATTTACCAAGTACTGTATTTTGCTCATTTTTTACTCAACAAAGAAGAAATATTTATGATTTTGCAATAATATTGTTTCTAATTTCAGATAGTTTTTATATCTAAAAATTTTAAGCCACTAACAGTGAAGGTTGTATTTTGTTTCTGAATATATGAGAACCTAGATTTTATAATGTTACCTTAATTCCTTTGATATAATAGCATAAAGTTAATTGTATCCCTTTTCAGCTATTGAAAACATTAATATAATTTCCAATTAATGTTAATAGGTGGGCAGAAAAATTAGCATATTCACTAACTAGGTTTTATTTGCAATTTTATTGTCAAGCACCATTTCTTTATCTTCTAAGTTTTCAACGGAGACTCTCTCTTCACTAATAACATCTTTGGTTACAGAAGTATGCTTGAAATTCCAGATACATTTGAATTTCCTTAATCTTTCCCTTCATGGTAAACATGAAAACTAATTAACATATCCTTCTGCTTATATTCATAAGACTGAGATTAAGTTAGCTTCCTTTATGTTTGTTTTTAATAACAGCTCTTTCTTTGCTACATACCTAGAATGATTTATCTGTTTACTGATAGCTTCATTTCCCCTCCACTGGTTTGATTTACACATTCTGATAACTGTAATTGCAAAGAATTTACTCAGATTATCTCTACACATCAGAAACGGTACGCTTTCATGCTCAAAACAGTCACACACAAGACTACCAGCATAATTAGTGGTGTCTAATGCTAAATGGAAATGTGGGGTCTCTTGTTCACAAATTATTAAGAATTCCAAAATGGCTACAGCAGAGTACTAAACCAAGAGCAGTGCCCTTCTAAGCATGGGGTCATGTGTGACTGCACAGATCACAGGTCCATGAGGCTGTCCCTGGCCACACAGTATGACAGAAGCAATATGTTGTAATGCTTCAGAGTAAGGCCTAGGGCCACATGCTTAGGTTTTAATTTTATCGTATCAATTTTCTAGCTGTTTGACTTGGGACAAACTACTTAATAGCTCTCTGCCTCAGTGGTTTCTTTCTATAAAACCTATCATGGTAGTATCTCTTTCATGTGTGTGTGTTTAGGAATGCATGTTAAAATGTGTAAAAGCTCCAAGAACACTATCTGTTATAAGTAAACCTTCAACAATATTAGCTGCTTTTGTTTTTATATGAAGTATCTATTTTTGAAAAATATAACTGGTAGGCCAACTCCTGTAGAAAATCCTTTCCCATACTATTTCCACAAAAAGCAGCTTATATTTGGAACTAACCTTAGACAGAGCAGGGAAATGGGACAAGGGTTGTGCCATTGTAAATCTACTTCGCTTGTGAAAAAGGCCCAGTTTATTTTTTAACTTAATCTATATGTCATTCTTGCTCTTCTTCCAGCCCCTTAAACAATTAAGTAACTTTGTAACCATAACCAGGACAGGAGACAGACCTTGAAGTATAAATGAACCTATGCGAATAAAGAATGCTGAGATCCAGATCAACACAGTCACCTAAATAACCCTATTCTTAAGACAAAACATCAAAGGAATTATCATCAGCTGTATACATCCTGTCTTATGCCAACCCCTACCCAAAAGGCCCTATAAAATCTCAAACCCTAAACCCTCAGAGCGTGCCTCCTCTGTGAGGTTGTTCACACTCCTGTCTGAGTACAACGAACCTATTTTGTGCAACTTTGAGAACCACTGATAAAAATGAAGATCAGAACAGGCATCTCAGGTTCCCAGATTTATACTATGCTAGGTTTATATTAGTCTGGCATTTAATTTCAGAGGTAAAATTAAGATCAATTAATTCTCCATTTGTAAATTCTGCACAGTCTAGATTTAGTAAGCCAGTTCTGATGATCTAATTTTACTATTTTCAAAAAGGATTAAGTGAAGATACAATTATATACTATCTATACTTGTGTTAAAGATTTTAGAATTGAGCAAGTAAATAATAAATATGTGTGCATTGGGTTTAATCTACAACCTCAGGACACAGAGTGAAACTAATCAGAAATTCATTCTCCCAATGTGGGTATCGATCAACTAGGATTTAATCTGAATGTCCACACTTCAGAGGTGGCTTCTGCAAGCATTTCTATAGTCCATATCTTGTCTCAACATCAGGAGCTTTATTAATCACAATAATGCATATTATAAATGGACCCCATTGGTAAACCAATAGTTTTGAAGCTATGTGTTTTGTTTAAAATAGATTCTAGAATTTCCACACATTTGCATGGTCAGCACATAAGAATCAAGGGAGACCTCACTCTTTATACTAACAAAGGCTCTATCCTTGACCAAAATTTATCCAGGCTCATTCAAGTCTTCTTGTTTTCTAGACTTCAAACTTGGCCCCTATTCTTTCTGGGCCTGAATATTCCAGTTGTTGCAAGAACCCAACTAAGTAAGTTTATCAAGAATTTCCCCTAGAATTCCCTAAATGTTTCCTCTTAGTGATTTCCATCCAGCAATATCCCTCCCCATCTGCCATCTGCTCTTCGGCTATAAAATCCTTTTTGTTCTTGTATTAAAGTTGAGTCTGGTCTTGATCTCCTGTTGCAGTAGTCTTGACAACTATCACAATAGTGTTAAGTAAAGTCTTTCGTACCATTCTAAGAAGGGTCAGAATTATTTTTTCTTAGGAATACTAAGGAATTAGTGCCCTAGAACTTGATCCATAAACAACTAGCTCAACAACTAGTACAGATACATCACCTGAATCTGGAGAGTTGGCTCGCCTAATCCTACCTCTAAAGTCTTTTACCATAGACCTCAGCTGCATATATCAAAGAGGGTGCTTTTGGGGCACTACAAATTGAAAAAAGAAGCAATTTTATTCTAAGTGACAGATGTGGGTATAAGAAAATCTCTGCCTCTCTGTTTATGAATGACTGTAATATGGCAGAATAGAGTTACCAATATCTTAAAAATACTGAACAGCTATATATAATTAATAAAGAATATCACTTTGTAACAATTACTAACAATTTAATATTTCAAATTTATTTTAGGATTTTCATATCCATACAATTCAGAGTAAAAGTTGTCAGAACACAAGTCCTAAATTCTAG